GGTGGGGGGGGGGTTGAGATGTACACAGACCTGACCTCTACCTCAAAAAGTAGAGTGGTTGTTTCCGTAAAGACCTTGTCAGATAATATGTCAACTATAATATAAGCGGGGTTGTGTTTACCAGATAATATTTGGGCATATTGTCTAGATCTTCATTGTAGGTTGCTTTCAGCTTGAATCGGATCATGTAAATGACCCAAAGAGTAGACACCAAAGTAGCAAAATCCAGAACAGTGTGAATGTCATGTTCCATCATAAAGCTACAAAACAATCTTACAGCTAGAAACATGGCTGTGAGCTCTTGTGTCTGCAATGAAAGGCCTGCCAAAGGCAGAATGCATCCATTTTAACTTCCATAGAACAATAAAAGAACACAAATGTGGATCATAACAAAACATTGTTTCCATTTCCTACTATATACCCTCAAGAGAATCTCTCACAAATCCTATTCTAAACCCTATCATTCTTTTTCTACCATCAATGCTGATTAGATTACCTATGACCCGTAAAAAAAACCATAGATTTCTATTAAAAGAACAATGCCATTGATGTTATATATATAAAAAGATCCAAAAACAATTTGCTAGTTTTCCCCATTCAAAAAGCTTTGATCATTCAACCAGTGTTATTACGCAAGAACACATGAAGAAAACCGTTTTGGATAATTGCATTGAAAGGATTGGATTTTGGTGGTTTGAAGGTTGTTTTGCTCAGTTAACCTTGCAGAGAGATCGGCTTTTCATCATGCACCTTGGAGATGCTTAATTTCACTTTCAAGCCCCATTTAAACCGTAAGTTTTCTTCTCTCTGTTTCTTTAAGATTCTTGATTTTGTTTTTAGTTTCAAATTTCCTAGAAACTGCAATAATAATGCAAAACGAAAAGATTTGTATGCATGCAACATAACTATAATCTCGAAAGAGTCAAACTGAGCATTCACCATCTTCAGTCATGAACCCTAATTATAACACAAACACTCACAACGAAACCCCCAATTGCAACAACATAGAATTGAAAATTGACCTGCATGTGATCTAGTAATCGCAATTATAATCAACAGAGTCATTTGAAACAACCAGAAATGAAAATTGTGAAAATGCTAAACAGAAACATGAAACGCGATGTATGAAAAATCTGTAACACATACCAGAGCATGTTTTTTGTGTGGTCAGCTTATAAATGAGAACAACGATACCAGCGGCATGAACAGATTCAGATGCAACGAAGAATTGATTGGTGTCTTTGATCAAGTATCTGAGAGCAACGAGGGAAGATATAATAAATGTAATACCAAAAAAGATCTTCACCTTCATCGATTGCCTACGAACCCAAGCGAATAGCTTATTTACTGCCGAACCCCTTCTCCGCCCCATGATCGGTTAATCAATCAAATTAATGACTCAAAAATGGTCACGGCGATGATAAACCACCTCCTTCTCCTCCCTCTTCTTATTAATCTCGCCGGAGAGGAGGCGGAGGAAAGAGACGAGGATTCAGGGCGGATGAAAACGATCAAGGTGGTTTGGCGTTTTTGAGTGTGTGTGTGTTTGGGAGATCTTGGAAGCCATTTTTGTTTTATTTATAGACTTGTTTTCTTGTTTGGTTGCCAAACAATTCAACGGGTGAGAAAAAGAGTGTGCCCAATTTTTCGTTAACCCACTAATTTATTCAAAAATAAAAAATTTTAAAAGTCAAATTACGGATTTGTCCTTACGATTTTCGGGTTTTCTTGGTTTTGATTCCTACAATTTATTTGTTATACGGACCGATATGGCCCTTCTGCTAATAACGATTAACTTTCATTCGTCTGAGTCTTTTTGAACGAGGGTAATATAGTCATTTTTTATGCTTGAAATTGTGAATATGTGATGGGTTATGTTTAGAGATGGAATTTTTACCTGTAAGATTTGGCATCTGACCATAACTGGAACAGGATTTCCCGGTTGGGTAGTAATGGAGCGAAGATGGGGATTTATTGTCATACCTGAAACCGGGTTTGGAACAGGGTCGGGATGACATTATCCGACCCTGGTTAAATTTTTTATTTATTTAATCTATTTATATAGTGTGTGTATAAATAAATAAATGTAGTGATGTTTCACTATAATTTTTATCTTAAAATACATTGTTTTTTACTACCCAATGGGATTCCTACCCCTGAATCCTTCGGGGATTTGTTGGGGTGGGGATCGGGGGATGCATTACCTGTCTAGTAAAAGAAATAGTAAGGATCAAGAATCTTATATGATAAGTGAAATAAAAGACTTTTATCAAGTAAACACTTACAGATAAAAGTAACTTACCAACAATTCAATTTGATAGCCAAAATGTTACTCAATAAGATAAGTGAAGATAATGATTATTATTAGTAAACAATTAGTCAACAACCCTTAAAAATCAAAAGGACAGTGTAAAATGAGAGTTTATTGGGAAAAAAAGTACAGGTAAACAAGAGAGGAAAGGTGAATGGACGAAAACAGCCTCATGTGCTATGTGCACGGCTGAGTTAGGAGAGGCTAGTCGATGTTCGTTTGGTCTAAGAACCGAAGTGCAAACCATAAGGTCTTTTACGTAATAAACGAACTTCAGAGGTCAAATCTGTAATTACTGACATATCGTAATGACCAAAATCGTAATTTACTCTAAAAATGATAAATAAATACAAAGGAATGTTGTTTATTGATTGTTAGGAAAATAGCTCAACGGTTTAGTCACGAAGTCTAATGAGTTGATTGGCCTCTTACTTGGACGTTTTATAACAACCTTTTGACTTTAAAAAAATGCCATTATTTTGGATTATTTGTTATATTTTTCATATCTTTATAGATATTATAAAATATTTGATAAAATCTTTTAAAAACTATTTTTTATGCATTAAGTACTGTTTATTGATGTATATTACTTAAAAATTAAGATTACAAGTAAATTTTACGTATCTCTATGTTTGAATTCATGTAATTAAATGCAGATAAACATAATTAAATACTGGATACACTACTAGAAAACTGGGCATTTTCGGCGGAAGTCAAAAAAGTCAAATTTTATTGACTTCCGCCGGAAAAATTAAACCGGTTACATTTCCGGCGGAATTGTTAATTAAGTGTTAATTAATCTTTAAAAATTAATTAATAAGTGAAAAAAATTTAAAAAAGATAATTTCCGGCGGAAATTTTTAAAAATATTTAAAAAATAAATCCGCCGGAAATAATTTTAGAAAAATAATTTTTAAAAAATAAAAAAAACCCTTTTAATTTTTTCTGGCGGATTTCCGGCGAAAAATTTAAAAAAAAATTTTAAAAATAAATCCGCCAAAAATAATTTTAGAAAAATAATTCATTCTTGATAGATGATAGATATTGTAGCGGATTCTATAAATATTTCAGCTTGTGAATAACTAAATATAGCAAACTTCATGCTTTTAGGGTGCGTTTGGTGCGCAGACAGGACTGGACAGGACAGGACAGGACGGGACAGAACAGGACAGGACAGGACAGGACAGCTGTTCAACGTTTGGTAAGACAGGACAGGACATGATAAAACTGGTTAAAATGACCAATTTACCCCCAGTGAGCTGTTTAGTGTTTTTTCACTACGAAATGCATTCTGGTAACACTGGTCCTACTACCACTACAGCCCTAATAATTCATCAACAACAACAACAACAACATTCAGCAATCATAATCAATGTAAACTCTCGAAATAAATCATAATACTTCATTAAAATCCCTAATATGTACTTCAATTAATCAAGTTGTTGGCGAAATCGAGTACGAAACCACCATCAAAATATAATTCCTTACTTGCATGAAACAAGAAGAAAGGTATTTGAAGAGCTTCTTCAAATTCGTGATGTAGTTGCTGTAAGAAGCAGCAGCGGCCATCGGAGAAGCAGCAGCGACGGCCATCGGAAGAAGCAGCAGCGGCCATCGGGAGAAGCAGCAGCGGCGGCCATCGGAGAAGCAGCAGCGGCGGCCATCGGAGAAGCAGCAGCGGCGGCCATCGGGAGAAGCAGCAGTGGCGGCCATCGGAAGTCGCCGTCACCGGTCGCCGGTTGAGCGGTGGAAGCGATGGAGGAGAGGAGAGTGAAGGGGAAGAAGGAAGGTATGCGTATGAGGTTTTTGAGGGTAAAGTGGTAAAAAGTTTCTTGTTCTACTTAGTTCCATGGGTAAAGGGTAGACAACCTTGTCCCACCCTTGTTCTAGTTTGTTCTAGTTAGTCCCACATAAAACCACACCAAACATAGGACAATTGTGTTCTGTCCTGTCCTGTCCCACCCTGTCCAACGTACCAAACGCACCCTTAATTTACAAAGGTTTTACGCAGAAGTATATGGAGGTGGCCTTACATTTGGGAGAATCTAAGACGGTATGCAATTCAAATTCATTACTTTAACCCTTCAATGAATTTTTTTTTGCTCGTTTATTTCTCCTTTTTTTTGTAGTTGTTGCTGGTGACAAACATCATCCATTGATGTTGTTTTAGGGGGATGTTTACTTTTGACTTATTGGGCTTAACGACTCAACGGGCTTATTCAGACAGACATTGTGGGTTGTTTACTTGCAGCTTATGAAAAAAATGTCAACTTATTCGCACAGCCCATAATGCTCACTTGTCCAGGTCCAGCCAATAAAGTAACCTCTCCTAGCCCTCAATTAAAAAACATGCGACCTCGACCTCTGTACGATGTCTCTCTCTTCTCGCCTCATACCCTTACCGCTCCAGTACCGGACGACCTCTCTTCATGAGCTGACCTCTCTTCCGGCGACTTTCAAGCCACGATGATCTCAAATATCATTCAGTTTGAAAACGAATTTATCAAAAAGGGCCGTTGTAGATCGGTCATTTCTGTCATTTAGATTGTTGATTCAAGAAAAAAAAACATTTTTATTCGAACAAACAAATTTATCTATATAGAACTTAATAGAAAAATTGGTAAATAACCCATTAGTCTAATGGGCCGTTTACCAAACACTTATCCGATAAAAAGTGAATTCGAGAACACCTGTATAGTTCCATCCCATCCGGTCTGTATATCAAATACTAACTTATAAACGCTTTCAAACTATGAAATACATTTCGGGCAACTTTCAATTTATTTAACTTTTCAATTTTATTTAATTGATTAACTAAAAAATAATCTATTTTCATCCAACGGCTTGAATTAAAAATGCAAATATGCAATCAATGGCAATTGGCAAATCTAACGGCGGAGTTTCAAAAAAAAATTGAGGATGAAAATGAAAAGGCTGTAAGTACTTTTTGATTCTATATCTCTGCTATGTGTTATGATCACATGACCAATAACCAATTATGTTATGCATTGGTTGATTCACAGGAAAGGGAATCAAATGATGATGATGATGATGATGATGATGATGATGATGATGATGATGATGATGATGATGATGGTGATGAAGTAGAGGTGATGACTGATGAAGAAGGATCTCCAGATGAGGTTGAAGTGGTGGCTGATGATGAATAGAAAAGATTTTTGATATTGGTTTATTTTGTTCATCTTTTTTGTTTCCATCTTTAAAATCTTGTCATTTGTGTAGGCTAAACTAGAAATCTAATACATAACTCTTCATTACACTCTTTTTGTGTAAAACCAACAAGTTTGTTTGCTCTCTCTCCCTACACATCTACACATCAATAATTTAAAAAATAAATTCGCCGGTATTTTTTTAAAAAAAAATTAAATCTTTTTTTAAATATTATTTTTTTAAAGAAAATATTTAATATATATATATATTTTTCTGGAGGATTTATCCGTCGGTATTTTTAAAAAAAATTTAAATCTTTTTTAAAATATTATTTTTAAAAAAAATTAAATCTTTTTTTAAATATTATTTTTTTAAAGAAAATATTTAATATATATATATATTTTTCTGGAGGATTTATCCGTCGGTATTTTTAAAAAAAATTTAAATCTTTTTTAAAATATTATTTTTAAAAAAAATTAAATCTTTTTTAAAATTTTATTTTTCCGTCGAGAAATGTTTCCGGCGGATTTCCGACGGAATTTTCCGCCGGATTTTTTTTTAAAAATTAATTACTTTTTAAGTTAATCAAGATTTTTTAAAAAAACGGGCGAAGATTTTCCAGCGGCCGTAATCCGCCGGAAACGGGGAAAATCCGCCGGAAAAGCCGCCAGAAAAACAATCACTGGCGCCCTTTTTCCGGCGGCCAAATCCTAATAAAAAATTAAAAATATATTTAAGATATTCATTAAATTCTAATAAAATATTAATTATTATATTTATAAAAAAAATTATAAAACCAAAAATATATGACTTCATTACTAAATCTAAATTAAATTATAATAAAAAATTAAATTAAATAAACTACACACAAAAACAAGAATTTTTAAATATTTAATTTGATACTAAAATCAATAATTTTTTTTTTCAAAATTTATGATACTTTCAAATTTATATTTTATTTAAAAAAAATAAAAACGTTATCGTTTTTTCAGTACTACATAAAATCGTATTATAACATTGACGTAGACAACATAAAACGAAACATTAAAATCAAGATATATATCATGGCATTGCACGAGTACTATTCTAGTAATTATAACAATATGTAAGGAGACATTTCATACCTGATTCAATGGTTGAAGTTGATGAAGAGGGTTTAAATCCATCTTTCGTAGGATTCGAACCGAAGCCTTTTGTTTATTTGAATGAAGTCGATTCACTCCTTTGTCAATTGAACTATATGTCTAAAGACAAAGTAAAAATTTTGTTATAATTAAAGTTCGAACATTAGGGTTGGGTTCCGATGAGACGGTAAGTTACGTTGAAAGCGTAAGAAGAAATCTCTACCCTTGGATCAATTTTAATTTTGTGTCAACACTAATGAGGTGCATCAAGATACAACAGATCAATTCTTTTCTAAAATGCATTTTATGAGTGAGTATGAGATTAAAAGTGATCAAAAATTTAAATTTCATTTTTCATTTCCCACCTTAACTTTTTTCCTCACACAATCATTCGGCTCAAACATTACAGTCTTTTTTCCTTTTTCTATATTTATACAATAAATAATATTAAATAATTAAAATCTAATCACTGACTAATCAAATAATTGTAATAAATGATATTAAATAATTATAATAATAAATAGGTATTTGGACCAACGTTTTTTTAAACATGATATTAAACAATTAGAATAAATGGTAACTAGTTTGACTATAATTTTATTATCCGTGATACCATTTTTTTACATTTGAAATTTACAGTCTTTACAGTATTTTTGTTATGAAGATTCATATTTTTTTACCTTCACAATATTTTGCTGTAAAGTTTTAAATGTAAAAAAGTGGTCTCAAGTAAATCCTGTCCATATTTTTATGAGTAAGGGGCTCTCTATTAAACATTTTTCAGATAAACGTTTATCGAATCATTACTTGACTCGTATACACAAACAATATCATTGAAAATTGTATACATAAACAATACTACAGTTTGAAAATACATAAGAAGCAAACTTTCAATAACTATTCGGTCCGAATAATTAAGGCGGAAATAACCGATTAGGGTACGTTTTATTTCTTAGTAATACATTTGTGTTTGAGGTTTCATCTTGTCGATATATGTACGACTAGTGGCTGCATCAAATCCTCTGATTGGTCTCGAGGGTTTGATCATAGAGCTCCGAAGAAAGTCGTGGAGTGATGACCACTTCAAGCGGTTTCACCTTCGGCAATGCGATTCCTAAGCCCTCGCTCATATCCACGGGCATCCCCATTGGTGTTGACAAATCAAACCCTTGAAGTAACCGAGCAAGTGTCAAATGAATAACTTGCAAAGCAAACGAGCTTGCAGGGCACATTCTTCTTCCGGAGCTGAATGGAATGTATTTAAAATTCTGACCCTGATAACTTACGTTTGAGTGTTCCTCAAGAAACCTCTCTGGTCGAAACTCATGAGGATCTGACCAGACTTGTGGATCGCGATGTAGCTTCCACACGTTYACAATCAARCGTGTCCCYTTRGAGACATGATAKCCMCCGATATTRCARTCYTCAATGGCCTCAYGAGGTCCCGCYAASGGRCCTGGTGGGTACATYCKWAGTGTTTCCTTMAYTATGGCTTGTARATAYSGTARGTTTTTWATATCWGATTCTTCCACCCATTTCTCTCGTCCTACATGGGTGTCCAGTTCTTTCTGGACAGCTTGTAGGACACGAGTGTTGTTCAATAGTAAAGAGAGCGCCCATGTTAACGTCTCGGCAGTGCTTTCTGAACCGGTCAAAATGAGAATCTATGAAAATTATATGTATAATATAGTTAGAATTGGGAACGATAATAATCCGCACGCTATAAAAGCCAATAGAAAGATGTTGCAAGGATTTTAATTAGAATTTGTGAATTTTGTAGTTTTATAACAAAATCAGTTTTATAGGATGTCAAATATGTCTAAATGTCATAATAGACTACTTTATAAGACTTGGGTTTATAAGCACAAACAAATATACATGGGATGTTATCAGTGTCAGAAAACACAGTTTTTTAACGACATTTTTAAATAACGTCGTATAAAAAACCTAATAAAATGTTTGATTTTAAAATTGGCCTTAAAAACTTGTTATTATGTCCAAAAACGTTGTATAACTTTTTGTAACATATTTTTATAAAACACACATTTTTAAGTCTTATAAAACAGTTTATTATGACATTCATATATTTCTGATATCTTATAAAACTGATTTTGTTGCATTGTATATAGAAAGCAAACCAAGTTAACGAACCAATGTCGTTGCTTTGATGACGGTGTCACGCCCGTGGCCGAACATTTCTGTATCTGTCGACGACAGGGTTGACAACATCACATCGATGAAATCGGTTTCTTTATCGCCACCGTACTCCTTTCTCTTCTCGACATGTTCGTCAAGCCACTTTCCGAGGATGTTATCGAGCTCCTTTGCCGCTTGTTTCATAGCCTTCAAATGCCCTCCGATATCCATCCATTCCAGATTCGGAATCACATCCGACACAACAAAAACGCCGCTAAGATACAACCCTTTCTTTATCGCTTCTTTCACCCTCAAGTCTTCACCGCCACCTTCATCGCTACGCCCGATCGAAAATCTTTTTCCGGCCAACATTTGTACAATTATATTGAACATGGTATTCTCGAACAATTTCACCATCTCAACTTTCTGGTCCCCATTCTTTACGGTCGACAACATAAAGAGCTCGTTAACAAACCACTTCACTTCCGAGTTACGAACATTTTTTAGCTTTTCTAACCGCTGGCTCGTTAACATCTCCAAAGTAACCAACTTCCGAATCTCTCGCCAATACGGTCCATACGGTGCCAGTGCAAAAACGGCTTGGTTATAGCCCATGTACCGGCTAACCGCCATATTGGGTCTAGTTGCAAAATTCCGGTCATTTGTGGTGAAACATTCCTCTACCATCTTCCAATTGCTCACCACAAATGCTCGATAGCTACCGAGCCGCAGAGAGAAAACCGGGCCGTAGTCATCGGCCATTTTTCCGAGGATTCGGGCCACCGGAGCTTGGCCATGAAGATGGTGCAGGTGACCTATAAATGGCAGTGCACCTGATGGTTCTGGAGCAACTGGTTTGATGTGGTTTCTTGGGTGGTTTCTTATGCTTCTTTTGTGGGTATAGATTAGAACAAAAACGAAAAGGGCTAAAATTGGAAGAAACTGTGAAAAGTATTCCATTTTTGGTGGTTTCTTTGTTATTTCTGTAAATATAAACCAACTGATGCTTTCTATTTATAGGGAGATTGGAATTACGTTGATTTAACGACTTTTGAAAAATCTCCTTTACTAAGTTGTCACGTTTGGTTTGGTTTGGTTTGGTTTGGTTAATACCGTGAATTTTGTATATAATATTATTTTATTAGTCTAATAATTAATTTAAAAATATATATATAATAAAAATCAATTATGAAAAAAGTCATGAGACCAAAAAAAAGAGGTTTTTATCAAGGGTGTAAATCATACGAGACAACTCGCGAGCTACTTGAGATCGACTCGGTCAAAACTCGACTCGAATAGGCTCGGCTCGAACTCGACATATTAACGAGTTGAGTCAAGCTACTCAATACTCGACCCGAAAAACTCGTGAGATACTCGATTATTTTATATATAATTAGTTTTAAAATATAATCAGTTTTTATGATAAAATTTGTAAAATATAAATAACAAAAGATGTCTTATATTTTTAGATATTTAAACAAAATTATGCATTTTTTTAAATATAAAAATTAATCAATTATTTTTTATTAAACTCACAATTAAAAAAAAAACTATAAAAAAGGTTAGTGAAATTGTCCCATATTGAAAGAGAGATGGTAAAGAAAATGAGAAAAGATGTTATAAAAAGAGAAAAAAATGGATGAAATTTCTAGCTTTGTCTTTTTGATGATGAAGTTTGAAGTTGATTCCTTTAGTTTTATAAAAATTAAGAGAACACTTTTATGTTTTAAAATTTATAAGAAAAATACCCAAAATTTTCATAAATTTCAACGGATGAGTTCGAGTTCAAGCTTGATTTGAGTTGCAGTTTGAGCTTGTTTCAAGCTTGATTCGAGTTCGAGCTTCAGAAATAGATACCGAGCTTAAGTCGAGCATAATGATACTTGAGCTCGACTCGCATCATTTATACCTTTATTTATAAGTCATCCTATTAAAAAAAATTATGAATTTTTTTAATTTAATGAATTGATAAAAAAAAAAAATTATAAGTTAAAGGAGATTCCTTTAGCACCAACATCATGGATCTTGTCGCTCTCAGGACCACATGACGTTATAATTTTATTTGTCGTACAAGAATAAGACCCACCGATATCATAATCTTCGGTATCTTAAGAGGTCAGGGGTTTAAACCTCATTAAATATAAGGAGGGTGTATGAATTATTTGTTGTATTTGCCGTATATAAATATTATACACTTCAAAAAAAAAAATATATGTAGGGTTGGTTAAAAAACATAGAAAAATTTTAGGGTTTTAATTTGAAATTGGTAGTTTAGTAATTTATTAATATTGTCATATATTTCTGTATTTTGTTCTACATATTTTGATAGAACAAAAGATACATTTTTTTTATTTCATTCAATTTCGTCTTGTCTCATTCTAAGTAATATCAGACTGAAACGTTAGACTATGTTTTTGTTATGTTTTGTCCACATATAAAACGCACATAGGGAACTGCATTTATTGGGAGGACAAGTGGGTAGGATATTTGTCATTCTGATGGGGATTGGTTGATTCAACTATAAAGTATTTGAAAACTCTTAAAAATTATTTTTTATGCATGATGTACTGTGTATTAATGTATATTACTTAAAATTTAAGATTACAAGTAAATTGTGCGTAAGTACAATTTATTAAAACTTCATTTTTGAATTCGTATAACTAACTGCAGATAAACTTAATCAAATACATGATAAATATCTCATTTTAAATAAAACAAATCTAAAATATAATTAAGATAATCATTGAAATCTAACAGAATCATTATCTTTATAAAAACATGATTGTTAAGCAAAAAATAAACTATTTCACTATTTGACCTAAATTGAATTAAAGAAATTGTATAAAAAAACGAGAACTTTTAAATAGTTAATTTGATATTAGTATCGATATATTTTTTTTCAAATTTATTTTTATTCAAAAGTAAAAACTAATTCTTTCTCAAAGCAACATAAACTGTATTATATCAACAGAGACAAAATAAAATGAAACATTAAAATGAAGATGTTTATCGCTGCATTGCGCGAGTACCATTCTAATATTAATTAATGCAAATATGAAAGAAAATAGAAAATGAGCGATCGTTGTATTAATGTTGTTTGGATGTGACTCATATCGACAGATACATGATGTGAATATTCATTCGTGTTTGTTAGATAATATATAAAAGCAGACCAACAAACCCACTTAATAATACATGGAATATGATATATGCATACCTTATTTCTACCTTACGAGGTAAAGATACTGTTTTCGTATAGATCCCAGTTTGTGAAAAGTAAAACTTATTATCTGATAAAAAAATTCGGTTTTTGAAAATTAGACAAAAGTTTGAAAACAACAGTTTATCAGATAACGTGTGCAACATGATACTGGCATGGGCAACATGTGAACGATTTGTTTGCGTTCGAATTTAACATCCTAATCACATGTACAAAAATCTTGTACAATTGGTTACGTGATGAACAGATCTTGTTTTGTTGTTAATGATTTTCGAATTGTACCTAAGGTTGTGAGTTCGGTTCTTCTAACAATATTTTTGCTGTTACTAATTTTCAGAATTCGCATTGTAGGGTCTGAAGTTAATGCTTTTGACTGGACCTGGAGCTTAAATTCGCATTCGTCGTCAATTCATGTGGTCCAAATCCACTTTCGGTATTTATTTGACTGTGAGCTTTCTTTTTTGTACTGGGTTTTTTTTTAAAACATAGAACAAATAAACTTTCACGAGTTACGTCTTTAATTTATATTTTTACAGTTAGCTTGTTAGGTACATATAAGTTTATTTTTCAAAAAGTATAGACAGATCAATTTAGGGTATATTTGTTAGTAGCTTAATGACTTTTGGGTGGAGCATTAAGTACATGTATCTTTACCGATCAACCAACTTCTAAACGTTGGAGTAGATTCTAAAGAAATACCACTTCCTCGTAAATTTATCTTGAATCGGGATCTTTTGAAGCTTAATATGACTTACAACTTATACGATCAACTATAGATGACTATTTAGTAGTGATTTAATGATATAGAAAGTGGTTTATTCAGTAAGGTTCTAAGGAGCTTTATGCAGAAATTCAAGATTTTAAAAACATGTCACTTTCAATTAAAAAACATGTTGTTTTCATCTATGAAAAAACCATCTCAAACAAAGCTGCCCCGATCTATATAGACAGATTAATCCACACAGACAGTTTTATCCATACAAAATTTAATGAAAAACCTAACCGAACAACTTCTTAACCTTTCTTTGAAATGGAATCCTTCCCGTTTTAATTAAAAATTAATTGAAAATTTACCATTAGCTTGTCTAGTAATCATTCGTTAATCTCCGTTGATCTCCAATAAATAAAATTTATTTATCAGCATTCATCCTCTATCATCATTTTTTTTTATCGATATCTAATTTGCTATTGTGAACTTTAATTTTTGTACTGGGTTTTTTGAAGTAGGGACTAAATACGTTGATACGTCTATTATTTATATCTGAACGATTAAGTTCTAGACCACATGTCGACATGAGTTTACTTTTGAGTAAACTATAATTTATGTGGTCTACATGAATCTACGAAAGTGGTCCCTAAACTTTAATAAGTACAGTTATTGTCCTTTATTCTTACATTTATGCTTTGAAAATCAGATCTAATCGTTAACTCTGTTAAAATTTTCCATTAAATAAAGGGTATTTCATTATTTTTTAAGTCCTTTTTTTCTTTTTTTATTGAATAGTTTCTAAAATAGAGTATGTGTAATACCAAACACTAATTTAATAAAGTCCAACCATAACTAAACATACAAATTTGAAGGAGGCAAATGAATTTAACAACATTGATCCTCATCTTCATTTTCTTTTTTAGGTTCCATTTACCAAACCCTTATCCAGATACACGTTTACCAAGTCACATTACCTTATCGGATGAATATGGTAAGAACCAACAATCTTACCCGGTAAGAGCGAAACAATGACCAAAATCTTACCTGATAAATGAGGGCAACGACGCTAACCATGGTAAGCGCGTATTAGATAAATTGTTGCATACGATGCCGTTTTAGTGAACTGAAATTTTACCCGGTACGTAAATGATAGTGTTAAATTTACTCGGTAAACATTTATCGAGTAAATGTTTAGTAAACGGCCCCTTACAAATTTAATTTGGGTTTTCTGATAATTGAAGTATAACTCTTGACTTTTTGAAACAAATATCAAATTGATTATAATCTTACATTTAAAGTGTCTGTTGTTTTCATTTATATGTTATTTGAGTTGGGATTTTTCATAAAGTCTCTTCAAATTATCGAATCCATTCTAATCAACACATTTTTTCTGAATTTCGATGAATCATAAATGTTTAAAATAATAATTTATGACTGAATGCGACATGAATATATATATATATATATATATATATATATATATA